CCCCCCGCAGCCTCCGTGACAGCAGCGGCGTGGCCGCCGCCCCCGCCGCCACCACCGCGGGGCCTCTGGGTTCCTGAAGCGGGGCCGCCGCGGCGGCTGCTGCACCTCTGCAAACCAGGAAGTCGCCGGGAGGGGGAAGGGGCGCGCGGGGACGCGCCCGGCGGCTTCACCTGGGCCGCGCGGGGAGGCGGGGCCGGGGTCCCAGCGCCCGGCGGCCCGAGGGCGGAGGGGGCGCGCAGGTGCCGGCCCTGCCGGCCACGCAGCGCTTTGCGAGGGAGCCAGCGAGGCAGGGCGCGCGTGTCCGCAGCGCGGGACCCAGCGGCTGCTTTCCGAGAACAGCCCCAGCTGCAGGGCCCCGGGGCTACCACCCCCGCACGGCGAAGCGCCTGGAAAAGCACCTCGGCTTGCAGGGCTTCCCACATCGCGTGCACACGGAATGGGGTTGTTGTCCTTGCTAATGCAAATTCCGAGCTCAGGTCGATGCTCCTGGCTCCCGACTCCGGCGGTGGCCTGGTTAGGGCCCTCCGAATTCCAGAGCTACCCCCCTGGTTCGGGAACGTTCGGACGGGTGCACCTGCTAAGCCGCGCGGCCGAGCAGCCCACCGGCAGGGCTGCACGCGCCTGCACGTGTGGGAGCCACCTTCCCGCACCGCGGGCTGCAGCGCGGCCGGAGACGAACCTCGGGACGTGCTCAAGCAGGGGCAGGCCTCCCAGACTGACAGTCGGGGGCGTTCGGGGAGGGCGCCCCGAAGGGTGAGGGTGGGAGGGCCGATCTGCAGAGCCCTAAAGCGCGAGTGGAGCAGGCGATGTGCCTTGTCTCACTTAGCTTGTGATGGATCCTTTCATCAGCGCTTTGCAGATGAACCGGCGGGTTCATCAAGCCGGAAATCAAACCAGATCTATCTGAGGCTGACTGTCCACTTCTACATGTTCCCTCTGCGCTGCTCTGCTGCCTCGTATTTAGGGTCTACTGAGCAGAGATGCATTATAGAAAAAGTCCTACGATGGACGTTGAAAAGATTGTCCACAGCTGGGCTGTTTACGCAGAGCCCTTCCGGGGAAGGCCTTCTCCCAGCTAAATTGCCACCCTTGACACGTGGCCGCGGTGGTTGCCCTCCAAATGGGGGTTGCTTCAGAGTTTATTCATGCAGAAGGTAAGATGATGAGAGGAAATGTGGTATGAATGTCGTGTGAGTCATGAGGCCTAAGAGTCAGACAAGGAGTTTCAGGAATTAAATAAAGAATTTAGAATCAGGGAACCTGAAGTTAAACTCAATTTCAACAGTCTTAAACTTTCTTACCAAAATTGGGTGCTACTTGGTCAACAAAATGGCATGTATTGTATAGCCATGGATCAAAAATGAGGACAGGATATAACTGGGAAACAAAAAAAAATTATATTTTAGCATAATGAGTTGTCATAGCTTGACTTGGGGTGAGACAGTTAACTTGAGTTTCTCGGTTCCTGCATTTGTGAAATGAGAATGATTAATTGTATTATCACATGAGCACTATGGTCAAGTCAAAAAGTGCTACAACTTTGTGTTATCTTTTGAGAAATTATTCTGTGAATTTCAGTTTCACAATTAGGCAAGCTATACCAGATAAGGGATTTTTTTCCCCAAATAAAGCTTTTTCTACCGAAGGTTACCATACTCCAAAACCTTGAAAAATATTGTGTAAACTAAAAACCACTTCTGCTCCAAGTGTTACTGAATTTCTCAAACTTCTTCTTTCATTATAATTAATTCTTCTCCAAAGGAAAAAACCATACTTGGGGTGACTCCATAGGCGTTTTTAATTTGGGGTGAGGAAATAGTAATACAATGGTTTTCCCCATCCATTGTTGGGATTTTTCTTAAGTGACAGTCATACCCCTGCATAATATAAAATCGTTATTTATTCAATTTACATTAAGTGTATGGAGGGAAAATACTACACATGCCTACCTCAGCTCAGAGCAATTGTTTTTAAACCAGCCTTTAGGCTGATGGTAATAAAGACATTTATCTATTCTGATATTACTGAGGCAAAAAGGATAGATACACAGATGGACATGATTTATACGCATGATTTGTTAAAAATACTGGAAAAAGGATTTAGTAGATAATATGTTTAGTGAAACCAGTGGTATAATTTTAGTAACATTCATTTCATATAGAACTTCCCAGATGACTGACAGAGGTGTATGAAGGGCAAACCTTCAAATTAGTCTTAGATATTCCCAAGATCATATTAAGATCATATTTCAGCAATGATATTTCTTACCCAACAATTAATATTAACATTTTTCAGGACAGTAATAGTCAAAGAACATGGTCTATAAGCTATTAATCTTCCTAAATGCTTTGAGACTTATTTTAAATGTTTTGCATGGGTTCGTAAAGAATATATATTCTGCAGCTTTTGGGTACAGTGTTCTAAATATATGTGCTGGATCAAGTATGATGATTGTGTTGTTGACATTTTCTATTACTGAATTTGCATCTGCTTGAAATAATTCAGTTAATGGGGGAGGTAAGTTAAAATATAATGGTGGATTTGTCTATTTCAACTTCTGTCAATTTTTGCTTTATGTAGTTTGGGGCTCTGTAATAATATACATACCAGTTCATCATTATTATACTCATCTGGTAAATTGAACCATTTATTATTATCATTATGTTGTGACTTTCTTTACCTCTAATAATGCTTTTGCTTTAGATTCTAAACAGTTTTCTTCTGAATAGTATTTGCTTGGTATTAGTATATCTCTTTTCACCCTTTTACATTCAAACTTTCTAAATCATTTTGTTTCACATTTGTCTAAAACATTTTAATTTTGATTTTTAATCTAGTCTGGTCACCTGTGGCTCTTAGATCAAGGTTTTAGACCATTTGCATGTATTCTTATAAAATTGCTGATAAATTTAAATTTATTTCTCACATCTAATGTTGTGTTTCCCATTTGTTTCTCCTGATGTGTTTTTTTCTTTCTCCTTTGCTTTCTCTAGGATTGATGGAGTGTTTTTCATGCTTTCATTTCTGCCCTCCACCCCCTCTTCTAGTGTGGAAGTTATGCTATTTCTATTCATTTAGCGGTTATCCTACAAATTTTTTTTTTTTTTAATTTCAGCATATTATGGAAGTACAGATGTTTAGGTTACGTATGTTGCCCTTCCCCCCACCCCCAAATCCTACAAATTTAAACAGGCAAAATTTAACTGATTAAATCCAGAGTTCACCAATACATCCACCTTCTCTCAATCAACACAAGGACCTTTAAAACCTTTTTCAAAACTACAATACAGGCCAGGTGAGGTGGCTCACACCTGTAATCCTAGCACTCTGAGAGGCTGAGGTGGGAGGATCCTGTGGGCTCGAGAGTTCGAGACCAGCCTGAACAAGAGTGAGACCCTGTCTCTACTAAAAATTGAAAAAATTAGCTGGGTGTGGTGTTGTGCAGCACCTGTAGGCCCAGCTGCTCGGGAGGCTGAGGCAGGAGGATCGCCTGAGCCCAGGAGTTTGAGGTTGCTGTGAGCTACGCTGATGCCACTGTACTCTAGCCAACAGAGTAAGACTCTGTCTCAAAAAAAAAAGAAAAAATTCCAATACATTATGCATTAGGAAAGTTGTTTTATACAGTCAATGTTTGTTTAGATTTACCCAGAACTTTACCACTTATTTTGCTCTTCTTTCTTATTTTCATCTTAGAACTTCCATCTACGATCACATCCTTTCTGCCTATAAAATACATGCTATGAACACTGGCATATTCTGTCACTTTTTGTTTGAGTGGGAATGTATTTCCTTCTCTCATTCTTGAAAAAATATTTTCACTGATAAAGAATTCTGAGTTTACAATTATTTCCTTCTGCATATCACCATCGTTACACTGTCTTCTAGGTTCCCTAATTACAATTTCAACTCAGAAAGTCTTGAAAGGCAATATTGCTAGGTAGATAGCAAGGGACCTCCAACCATCCTAGGAACAGAAGTGGGTGCCCCGCCTTGGCGCTGCCTCTAGCAGGTGCCCCACCTGGGGAAGAAGTGCAAGGGCCCTGCCCTGGGTGTCTGTCTTGGTGCTGCCCCACCTTCATCCTGCCCTGAGCACCTGCTAATCTGCCAAAGAATGCAGGGAATTCCCGGCGTGCAGGCCAGGCAGCCCAGGCACGGTAGGATTTGGAAAGTGACCTAGAGTAACCCAAGGCTAATTATCATGTTGTTAACTGTCCATCAAAGTGGTTCGGTGGTGACCGTCGGAACCACAGAGAGGGCCCACTCCAGACACTATAAAACAAGACCCCACATCATAACCAGAGCCCTTTCGTTACGGCTGGGGACCCGTTTGCCGTCGGTGGTGAATGTGTCTTGCTCTTGCTCTGTAAACCTACCTTGCCCTTCCTCAGTAAACTTCGTTTCATGCTTGGCTTTTGGGATATCTGGTCATTCTTCGGCCAAGAGCACACCGAGAACTTAGAACAGACAACTGCCACCCAACAGTTTTCTCTCTGGCTTCAGCGAAGATTTTTCTTTTTGTCTTTAGTTTTCTATAGTTTCACCATGAAGTATCTAGATATTTTTAAATTCGTCTTTCTTGGTTTCTTTGGTCTACCTGACTCTGGAATGGTGACTTTCATCATTTCTGGAAAATTCTGAAGTCCATTTTTTCTTTTGGGGTGCCGATTATACCCATATTATTCTATAATACCTTCCATGTCTCTTAACGTCTCTGTCATAGCACCTCTCCCTTTATCTCTGGGCTGAATTCTGGTTAATTTCAAAAATTTCCTGTTCACTGATTCTTCAGCTTTGTCTCATCTGTTAAAGTCATCCGTTTAATTTTTAATTTATATCATTTTTATTTCTAAAGTTCTTTCTGGTTATTTTTTAAAATCTGCTTTATCTTAACCCATATTTTAAGCCTCTCTTTAATTTCTTAAAGTACATTTAATGTACATACTTTAAATTCTATTTCTGGAAATTCCAACATCTGAAGCATTTGTGGATCTGATTCTGCTATCTGAATTTTTTTTCCTGCTGTTTCTTACTTATGGTCCTTTGTTTCTTTGTTTTCTTCTGTGTGTGGTGATTTCTTTTTCTTTTTTTTTTTTTTTTTTTGAGACAGAGTCTCGCTCTGTTGCCCCCCAGGCTAGAGTGCCGTGGCGTCAGCCTAGCTCACAGCAGCCTCAAACTCCTGGGCTCAAGCGATCCTCCTGCCTCAGCCCCCCTAGTAGCTGGGACTGCAGGGATGTGCCACGATGCCCAGCTAAATTTTTCTATATGTTTTTAGGTGTCCAGCCAATTTCTTTCTATTTTTAGTAGAGACGGGGGTCTCGCTCTTGCTCAGGCTGGTCTCGAACTCCTGACCTTGAGCGATCCACCCGCCTCGGCCTCCCAGAGTGCTAGGATTACAGGCGTGAGCCACCGCACCCAGCCAGAAACGAGCTTTTACATGCAACCCTCTCACCGCAGTCAGGCACTCCCTAGAATCTAACTCTGCACAGCCTCGTATTATTGTTCTTAGGTGAAATTTATTAATACTATCACTACCTTCACTACCTTATTATAGAAGAATTCTTTCTAAAAATTATTTAAGTCAAATTTCTTGAAGGCCTCAGAAAACCATCTAAAAATCATAGTTTCAGGACCTGCCTTTTAATATCAACTGAGATAGTGTTGTTAAGAAAAACATTCTCCAAGTAGATTGTTCTTCTAACACTTAGCAGCAATATCATGAATTTGAATCTACAGATAAAATCTCCCTCCACAAGACATATGAAGTACTTTTAAAATAGAGAGAA